CTCTTTCTTTTTGTTTTCTTTTAAATAGAAACTTCTGTTTGGGTGTTCTTTGGAACTCTTAGAGGAAAAAGTGCAAACTGAGTACTGTAGCAGCCAGTTCAGTTTTTTATATTAGCATATCTTCCTTCTGGAGTAAGTTGTTAAACTCAAAGTGGCTGCTAAGCCTCTGTGTATACTGGGGGACCCAAGCTCATTTCCCAGCTTGACAGCCTGAGTTTGTGCTTTGGTTATGCCTTGGTTCTATTTTGAGAAGAGACCTATAGCTCCCATGGAAATGAAACCTGTGCACCCAAGCTTAAAGGGAGCCACAGCACATTCTAGTCAGGTCCAGGGATCAGGGCTGCAGGGCCTGCTTCACAGCATGTCAACCTCACTATCCAAATCTACCTGGACTTTTTAAAGTCATATATGCACAGAAGTGATTAATGAGGTCTACAGATTGATTTTTCAGTATTACTAACCCTAGATTTCAAAATACATTCATCTGCTCATGTTTTCAAATCTTGGAGTGTTTTTTAAATTTCACATTTTAGTTTGCTGTGAATTTTTGAAGTCATGAACCATACCACAAGGGTGCTTTGTGTCTGCACATTGCAAAATTTAGCCTGAAGGCAGAAAAGAAGTAACTTAGAGACACTCCTGTATTATTTCTAAAACGCTTTGTCCAGGTCCGACACCATTCTCAGTTCTCTCCTCTGTGTTACAGAGCAGTTCTTTTGTGAATACTCCCCTTCCCTCTCACTTCCGTTACCCACTGCAGTGTGTTATTCTCCCATCCAACTCTCAGTGCTGTTTTGTTCCCCTGCCTTTGTTCTGGATATTGGTTCTGCCTAGTTTCTTCTCCAGTTTCCACCTCTCAGGTCTTAAAAACAAATAACCACTTTTTGCCTGAGTTCAACCCACAGAACATCTAAGCAGTGTAGAGAGATATAGCTCCCGGCCTTTGCAGTGCAGAAGGGCTAGCTATGCATGCCTCTAGACGTCATTGTAGCTAGCTGTTCATCGTTTGTTCACCTTTTCTTCTTAGTGTGAACGCTGAGAGTGAAGAACAGGTCCGATCCCTGTGTACTGGCTTCTGTGATGAGGACAGTTCTCTGTTGGCCTTTCAGAACCTGCTCTTCCCTTGACTGTGCACAAATGGGGAGAAAACTGCACAAGAACAGACTTGTGGTCTCTGTTGCTAATTGACAGATCTGTAGCCTCACAGTCCTGGCAGTAGATTCCACTGACTTTTGCCAGTAATCCGGTATTTGTTTTAGCACTTGTGGAAGTCCTGAACTTCAGGGTCTATCCTGGAAGATCAAGTGAAATCCATTCTATTGTTAAAGCATAGGTCTTCAAAGGCACAATGGGATTTAGCAGTGCTCTTAGGCGGTGAATTAAGCCGTTGTAAAAATATCTAGGGTAGTATACTAATGCCCTGTTACGTTTTTACTGTGAAATAGTTTTTGAGATAAAATTTCATTTCAACTTACTTTTCAGTAGCTTCCCTGTGTATGCAAATCTTTCTGACATTTTTGACTTTCAGACTTTTTCACTTAAAGTTTGTATCATAAAGAATGTGTGATACCTACCAGTAAGGGTTACAGCCATTTGAAATCTTGGTGCCAATTTCTTCTTTCTGCCTAGCTTACTCCAGCAGTTAATAGCGCAGGTAAGACTCGAAGGATTTCCAGGTTGTACTGTTTGCCCACACTTCCCTTCTATTTTTTCTACCCTGTGCAGAAATATGCTCAAGAGCAAAATCTGTTTGTTGCAAACATCGCCTTTTCAGGAAATGGTATAACCAGTACTAAAATATTCATAGGTTTTGTATAGGCTAGAAGAGAGGACTGTGATTACCTATTTTAGTCACTGACCAGGTATTGTCACTTGTGGTTCTGGCATTAAGCTCATATTTGTGTTTGAGCAAGACCACCTTTCTAGAAAGGTATTTTCACTTCATGTCATGGCTGCAATTGATGGAACATTACAGAATTACAGAATCACAGAATGGCCAAAGTTGGAAGGGACCTCTGGAGATCATCTAGTCCAACCTCCCTGCTCAAGCAGGGTTCTCTAGAGCATATTGCCCAGGATCACATCCAGACGGGTTTTGAATATCTCCAGGGAAGGAGACTCCACCACCTCTCCGGGCAACCTGTTCCAGTGCTCTGTCACCCTCACAGTCAAGAAGTTTTTCCTCAGGTTCAGACAGAACTTCCTGTGGTTCAGTTTCTGCCCGTTGCCTCCTGTCCTGTCGCTGGGCACCACGGAGAAGAGTCTGGCCCCATCCCCTTGACACCCTCCCTTCAGATACTTGTACACATTTATGAGATCCCCTCTCAGTCTTCTCTTCTCCAGGCTAAACAGGCCCAGGTCTCGCAGTCTTTCTTCATAGGAGAGGTGCTCCAGTTCCAGTGCTTAACTCCCTGACTTTTTAGACATAGATCATATTACTTGTCTGACTTTTATCTACCTTCTTTCTAGCTGCTGGATATTATTGTACCTGTATCTGCTAAATTAAAGATAGCCTTCTACTCTCAGAAATCTTCCCACATGTAAATGATTATGGACCACAATTAAGTCACATATCTGCTTTCTTTTTGATCACTCTCTAAATCTGTTTTTGCAAGATAGCTTTCTGGACCTCATATAATTCTCACGACTTCTCCCTGAATCTTTTTTGACATCGCTGTGCTTGGAATGATAGTCTTCCTAAAATATCGGAATCTCTTTGACCTTAGATAAATTGAGTATCTTCCAGTTTCCAGGGAGTCCTAAAACTCCCTTTTTCCTCTGTATGGCATTTAAGGATTTATTTTTCTTTTCTTAAGTATAAAGGCTTCTCTTGATATACTTTGCCAGAATTTCCCTTCTGATTTTTATTATTTGCTAGATAGCAGCATGACTCCTCTTCAGATACAGTGACATTTCGCTAGTGGTCCATGTGTAGTCTATCCAGCAGTTCAGTGTTGAGTGGAAGGTTTTTTGGCTTGGAATTTGGGGATGGTCAAGAATCAAGATGGTCACTTTGATACACAGGAAGTAGTTTTAGTGCTAAAATAATTGTAATCACTTCTTTCCAATGTTTAACTGAGTACTTTTTAAATGTTATTTATTGTCAAGATTTAAAGCTTCCTAAAGTCTGCAGAATGTAGACTGTCTTTGATGACTGCTGTAATGTGAAAGAGATAGATATCTAAACATACAAGTCTGGGAATTAAAAACTAGAGCTAGAAAGGCAGCTATAACATTTTTTGCTATTCCTTAATAGTTCAGGCTGTGGTACAGTCCTTATTAGATGAACCTACATATAAATGTTTCATACATTATACTGTCAGCTTAGTATATAGGTGTTTATAGCACATACCATTTAAGAAAATTTGCAAATAATACGTTGTTTACTCTCTCTTTCAGACCTTAACTAGAGGACTTCTAAAAACTCAAAATTACTTCAGTTTCATTTCTAGTTTCACCTAGCTAATGCTATCAGATGTGACTCTAAAAACCTTACCATAGCACTGACATATTAAAAGGGGTATAAAATCTTAGTAAAAGGACAATCTCTTAGAAAAATTAAGAAGTGGCCATATCTTTTAAGCAAAAGCAGCTATTGGCCTGACTTAATTTTCTCTGAGGGTAGGTTGCAGGCTGAAAATGAGAGAACTGTGGCCGTTTTCTTTATTTTATTCCCTGCCTCCTATTAGTAACCTGTTATAGATTTGCATATTTTAGACAATCAAAGGAGATCATATATTTTACAGGCTGTCAATAAAAAATGAGAAGTGCTTTCCGTATAGTGGAAGCATACATCAAGAACTGTCCTTAGTATTTCACATGAAATGTTTTCAAGTTTTTGAGCTTACTTTAGGAGTAAAAGAAAACTCTTCCTTTATGAACATGTGTTAAATTGTTCTGTAACTCTTACCAGTAGCAGTTCTACAAAGATTAGAAATCCAGATGTGTAGTTGTACTTCCAGTAGGTCACATATTTAGAATTCTGTAAGTTCTCTCATGAATTACAGCACAAGGTGCAGAGTCTTCAAAAGGATGTTTCTTGAATGACATCTGAGGAGAAGACCCAGCAGGAGCTAGTGGATGCTGCTAGCCTATGAGATAGGAGAAAGTCTTAATCTTTGCAGACCAAGTCTTCCTCCTTTGAATCCCATTCACAGTGGAAGCCAAATGAGACTTAGCAGTGAGTTGAATAATAAACTAAGTAATAGCTAAGGGAGTAGAAGACCATTCAGCACTACATTGGGCAGTTAATTTTACGTAGCTTGGGAGTACAAGGAATCAGACCATTTTATAAATATAGTAATGAAGTTCAAGTTTGACATTTTGATTCCATTCGTATGTCTGTCTTTTCTCTGCTGCATGGCTTGACTGTATATGTACATCATTGTTTACATAAGAAGAACATAATTTACATAAGAAGAAACTGAAAATCCCCTATAATAGAAGCTTTGACTCTAAACTTGCTGCTCTTATTTAAGCAGTCCACTTTATGAGTTCTGTTCTTTCAATTAATTGTGATATTGCTTGATCTCATATCTGAATCAGCAGCTGTAAAAGAGATTAGAGTATGCCTTCTTACACCAGAGTGTCATGTTGACTCAACTGATCCTGAAGGTAGCTGTACCACCAATTTGAGATGCTTGTGGTACATCTCCATATTTTGAATTTTAGGGCCTCTACGGAGTTTAGAGGTCTTGGGATTCCAGTGCTTCAATGTGTTAATTACACAATTGCAAAGTCCTACCTCTCAAGAGCTCCAGGAAGAGCACTCTGGAAATACATATATCCTAGAAGAAGGCAGACCCATGTTTTTCTCAAAGGCAGTTTAAGTTCTTGAAGTACTGTTTATGTCAAAGTTGCATTACTTGTGGTGACTGACTGTGTTCCAAAAAAGCAATGTGATTGCATGGTGATGCTGCCTATGGTTGTTACAGCTTCTGGTAATGTGCTTTTGCTCCTGTCCTAGATTCTTTCTGCTTCTTGTGATTAACATGTAAAAAGTCGATCAGGCTGCTTTTCAAGCTGACTAAACTTTCTGTTGCAGAATTCAGTTAGGATACAGCAGATGCTTAGATGTGCATGGTAAACAAAGTAAAAAAGAACACAGTTGTATTTTCTAGAACAGAATTACATGTCAGACAATTACTTGCTTAGCAATACATTAAGAGCTAACTGGTGACTTGAATATGTTTTATTCCACGCATAAAACCAAATTTCCCCATTAGGGAATTTAGATTTTCTTCACAGTCCTCGTTAGTTGTTCTCATGTTACTTTATATAACGGCATCTAATAATGTGAAACAGGACATAAGTGTGGGGTTCAGGTTAAGGATTAAAACACAACAAAATCGGGGATTAGTGAGTTAAGCTTGAATATTTACCCAGCCTTGGCTGCAATAGTTTTTTTGCATCATCACTGAAATAATGTCTTCTATTACATAATAGAATATTCTTTTTCAAGTATTATAGGTAATAGAATAGCATTCCTTCATACAAATTATTTAGTATAATGTACAGTTTATAGGGTATAACACCTAAAAGTCACACAATGAAAAGGTTATTTTTTGGAGTAACTGTAATCTGTGCACAGTACACATATAGGGCCAAATTTTTAAAGGGGTCTCAATATTCCCTCTTATCTTACATCCTCAGTCTATTCCATGCATGTATGATAGGATTAAGATACTTAAATTTTTGACTTCAGTCACTAATCGACATATCTTAATCCTTTCATATCTGTCCATAAAATAAGAGGCCATCTTTAAAAATTTCACCTAAAGTGCTCAATTTTGCCTTCAGATACCTCCATGCAACTTCCATTGAAGTAATTGGAGCTGTGCCTGCATATCTGATGGTGGAACTGGACTCATTGCAATTAAGGTACACATTTACCAAAATAATTAGTCATCTGGAATACTCGCTGGGCCCAGTATGACATTCTGCATGTGCAGAATACCCTCTGGAGTGTGGGAGATTAAAGATTACTATATCTTTGTTTCTTGCCTTAAATTTGTACCTGTAGCAGAACTTTCATGTAATTTACTATATTTAATTTTCCTATCTTAAATAAGAAATATATAAGCAGGACATGAAAACAACATATTTTTCAAAGTAATGTCTTCATATATTTTTTCATACCTAACCAGTGCACAGACATTCTGTGATTTCTACGAATACATTACAGGAGGTATGTGTGTGCACAATCATGGTTTGGGCAACATCACACAGTTGTTGTCCAACCCTATGTGTACTGCTTTCTTTGTGTATCTTTGTAGTTGCAAAGTACAAACAAAAAGTAAATGCATAAAGAATCCCACAGTTAACTTTAACAGCATAAAACCCATATATGATAACTTTGGTACCTCTTAATTCCCAGTGCAGACCTATAAACACCATGATAAAGTATTTATTTTTCTGGTATTTGAAACTTTCTATGTTTTGTGATTGAAAAGTGTTTCCAGCATTTTTTAAATTCGCGTCTTTCTCCTGTTGCTGATCTGAGGAGTGGCTGTTTACAAAACTCTTGACTTTTAAAATTAATCATTTTGGAGAAAGTCATATAAATCCATGGTTGACCCAAAAGCACAAAAACATTTTGCAAAGGTTTCCCACATATATATCAACTTTGAATTTGTAACCACACACAAAAAAAAAAAAATCCAACTGAAAGAAGTTATTCTTTTAGAATGTTGTAACATGTGAAAACCGATGAACATAGTGAGTGTTCCCGTAATTTAGAACAGTTACTAGCTGATGAATATTTGGGTCAAGTTCTAGAAATGTTAGAGTACCAGTTTTCAAAGTTTTGATTCATTGAAATTGCTTTACTTTATAGTGCTACCAAGTTTAAGAGTAGCAGAATGTATAGTTCTCTCTGAGAATTATCTACTACCACAAAGGTTAACTTATTTTAAGAAATCTTTTCATAAAAGTACCCAACAAATATTGAACAAAAGTAAAGGAATAAATGAGGAAATGCTTTCACATATATACAGGGACTTTCAGACGCATCTTTCCTTTAATCTAAGGTTATCTTCCTGTGGCAAGCACAGCCAGTATTATTTGTCGTAATAATTGTCATAATTTGTTCAAAGTAAAGAAGATGCTTTTTATAGCACCACAGCTTCTTGAAGGTTTAAGATGAGATTTTTTTAAGCAAACGTTATTG